AATGTGATTGCCATTACAATTAATGTTAAGCTTTTTCAATGTTAACCTTGCATTCTTTGAAAGAATACCCCTCTGTGCATATGGAGCATCGCGGTGAATTTTTACAAAACTTTGCAAATTATAGTATAAAACTATTTAAAATAATTAAAAGAAGATTGTCCACTTAGTATGGGGACTTTGGCCTGACGTGAACAGCCATTTTATCATATTTTTTGTAATTAGTTTAAAAGCACTAACTAGTAATAATGAGAATATGAACTTAATTTTGTATCAAAATGTTTAAAAAGAGATTTTTGTCATGTGAGGAAAAACAGGTTAAAGCAAAATAAAACAACATTTTTTATGATTTATTTTTATTCTGAGACATCATATGTTATTAATATGTGTTCAAGAAATTGGACAGGTGGTGAAATGTGTTTCCTGATACCTTGCCCAACTTAAAAACCATATAATAGTCATTATATGAGCGCAGCAACCCACTGTCCTTAGACCAACCATACAATTACAATAATATTCTTTTATAGCTTCCTTACCATTGTGATTATTATCATATAATATATACAGGGTGACTGGTGAATTACTATCAATATTTAAAGAGCATACTCGGTACATGATTCTCATTCGAATTATGTAAAAAAAATAGGTACTTAATTTTTGACCAAATTTCCGTATAAATAAATAAAGTGTGTACACGTTCCAAGTGTTCCAAGTGTGGACGCGTGCGGCGGCGTGCTGATACAACAACACGCCGCCGCACGTGTGTGTGTGTGTGTGTGTATACCTAATCTGTAGGGTGTTCATACGATGCGTAATTATTTACATAACTTTTGGTTGACTTTACTTAGAAGTTTATTGATATTTATGTTATATTAATTTTTATTTTGTCATATATGATCGTCAAATATCACGTCCTCAAATATCAATAGTAATTCACCAGTCCCCCTGTATATATAAAATATATTTTTTGACTTACATGCCTGCTTTGTATTTTTCCATGCAATAATCTGCAGTTGGCCAAAGGAATCAGGTAGTCAAACTAATAGGTCGCTGGCTATATTTCTACATTTTTCTAAAGTATAGGAACCTTCGCCTCTTATGTGCTGCCCGTAATACAAACAAGCTTGTTTTAGTTGGTATGTTCCACATGCAATTAATATAAGATCATTATATTCTATTCTTGCAAATATGAAACTATACATGTTAATACATTTATAGGTTGAAAATCTGCCCGCCTTCTATTTAAATTATTTTCGATAACAAAGTCAGCTAATGTGTTAGGAGTAAACATCTTTTCATTTATTATAATACAACAGTATTTATATACTTAATCCTTATGGATTATAATTATATAAAACAATAAAACCTCATTTTGCATTATAGGAATAGCATATACAATACATATCTATTAAAAAACGAGTAATTTAAATAATTAATTAAATTGACACTTACTCGTCGAGGAGCTATCCACTGTCTTATAATAGACTGAACCTAATTAAGATCTAGACTATATCGCCTTCTCTCTATCAAATCACTTCCACAGTTTATGCATCTCAGAGATACGGATTGGTAAGAAGTCACTTCTTCTGTGTGCAGACTATCATGAGACACGCTTTGGTTTTGTTCAATGTCCATATTAAAGCCGTGGTTAGCGATGGAGCTAGTTTCGGGGTCCATATTACGTGAGTGTTGTTCATCGTTTATGCCTTGATCAGAGTCCATAATACAAAAGCCAGGGTCATCGTTTGAGCGAAATTCGGGGTCCGTAGATGTGCAGGGGTCATTGGAAAAAGATAGGTCGGAGCCCATAATGAATAAGCAATCGTTGAAAGAAAATCCATAATAAATCAACACTCTCTCAATGTATATAGGTAAACAAAGCGAATGTAAACAATCAGTCTGTGACATATCAATGTCAATATGTATTTTTTCGTTTTATTAGTGTTGCAATAGAAAAACATCATTAAAAAATCGATCGAAAACAAATATGATTATGTTTAACATTCTTCATATTTCAGTTTATAAAACGTTTTAAATGACGAAACTAATTAAAAACAAATATTATATTTTTTTATTAAATACTTATAGTTGTATTAAGTACTGCGAGATCTTGCAGGTAACACAAAACGTGGATCAATAAAGCAAATCAATGAAGATACTTTAAAAATATTTTTTCAATAAAATACAAATGTACACTCCAACAACAATAGAATGGCTAGCTAAAAAAATATTTTTTTTTTCATAAACTTGTTTTTTTGATAGCAGCTTGTTCACGCTAGGCCAAAAATGGACATTGCCCTTTTTAAAAAGCCCGCGTCAACGTTTCAATTCCCACGCTCTTTTTTTCAGCATGTAAATAAACGTCGACAATATAGAAGTTGTACAAAAATTTATATGAGTAAAAAATTTTAAGTTCATCTTCATGTTGACTGTTTTAAAATACATAATTCATAGTAATACATAATACTATTACGATAAAAGAGTTGCTAGTGAAATTCAAGTTCAGTAATTCCAACGTTCCTTAAACGCAACATTTCGCGGAATGTAAACTAATTATCAATATTTATTAAATACTAGAAGACCTGGCGAACTTCGTATCGCCCTATAATCAAGAAATATCTATTACGTTTTTTTTTATTTATATTTTTGGAGTTTACTTGTAAGCCATAAATCACCGTGTTTTTGAAGTTCGACAGAATGATTGTCATATTAGTTGTCAAATCTAATGTAAAAAAAAACGTTTGTATGGGAAATAGAAAAGGGCTGTTTTATGGTTTTCCCAGTAATGAATCAATTTTTTTCAGCTTTTATACCTTCAGCTTTTATGACTCTGGATTTACAAGAAAAATTAGTGTTCTGAGAAATCTAATATTTCTTAAAAGATAGAATTTACTATTTTAATATGCTCACACTAAAATAAAGACATATGTGAATTGAACTTTATGCATGGCACAAATAATTCATTCTAGAATCGACCTATCTGCCTTATTATCACTCATTCATTTTAACATCAAATTTAGATCTCAACATCCACATTTGAATACCTTCGTCCTCAGCGTTCACATTAGTAATACATCATATTATAACCCTATCATTAGACTGCCGTACATACAATGATTTACTTTCAAAACACAGTGACATGTTAGATATATTTGATCCCAATTTTACAAGGCTTAAAAATAGGGTAAGGCTTATTATATTGACGATTCAATGATTTACTCTCCAATGACTTTTTTTTTCTTATGTTTATTGCCATGTAGTTGTTATTGAATTATATTTTAATTTTGACAATTTATTTATAATTATAATTTTTTATTTAATTCTTTAATTTTATTTTATTTTTTAATTATACTTGTTACACAATCTTAATTGACTGTATCTGTCTCTTTTGCTCCTATTTATATTATTGTTGACTCAGTGAATGTAATTTAAACTAATTTGTAATGTCCGTTAATGTTTTTTTGTATCAACAAACTAAGTAATTGAATTTAAGTTATATGTTCCTATTTATTCATTAGTCTTAAATTGTACCTAAATTATGTAGCTCCTGACAAAAATATTGGTTTTGTAATGATTATGAAGTGTACACATGCTTGGGAATATAACCAAGCTAAATATAATTTTAGACTGTAACTCAAATGTAATCCGGATTATATTCTGTTTGTGTGCCTAAATAAATAAATAATCAGAATCCTTATCAACAACTTATAGGCAGTTTGAAGATCCTACCTAATACCTAATCCAATTCAATAACTGTATTAGTGAAGAGCTTTGAGTTTATGCTAAAAGAATATTATATATACTTAAAGAAAACATAAAAATTTGGTTTGAAATGTAGTAAGAATAAAAATGATAATATTGAAGGATATGTTATAAGGAAAGATATGTTATAATGATATAGGCAGACCCTGGCTATAGCTGGGAAATTGCCAGGTAGAAGATATGTTATAATGATATAAGGACTGGAGCAGTGATGTTAATGACAGTAAATCATATTCAGGGTTTTGTTATATTTTGTCAGGATCAGTTATATCCTGGAATTGTAGCAAACAAAAAATGTATTTCACTTTCTAGTACTGTAGCTGAAAATGTGTCAAAATCAGAAGCCTGCAAAGAAGCAGTGTATTTGAGAAACTTACAAATGAAGTGACTTGTAGAATGTATACTATTATTTTGTACTCGTATAATGACAGTATGAGTGCTCAGAAATTATAACTGAACCCAGTATTCCATAATAAAACTAAACATATGGATGTCAGGTATCACTATTGCTGAGATATTATAAATAAAAACATTGTTAGTATTAATTATTTGTGTATATCTGATATGCCTGCAGATTTATTTACCAAAAGCTTAAGTGTTGTAAAACATTATAAACATGTAATGCTTTAGGAATTGTTAGAGTGTAATATATTTTAACTTTAAGTTCATGTTAAGTATTTATTATAGTTTAAAATAGATCATATTTTAATGGGAAGTGTTGTGGATATCAAAATATGGATACAACTAGCCATCTTGTGGCAATCATGTCAATAAGCGTTATTGTATTTGTCTATGTTCAATAAATCATTCTTCTGTCGATCTTCAGTTGACACACGTTGTTTTATTATATATTAATTATCGTAATCTAATTCCTATTAAACAGTTTTATTTATTCATAATGGTGCTGAGGGAGCAGGATGTTTTTGTCTCTACTAACGTTTACATTAAGATCGGGTGTTGTCATATTTTCACAATAAAACTGTTAAGGTTATATTCTTACTTTCTGTTGCCTCTCACACACTCATAAAAATATTTCCATCTGACTCAAACGAATATTGTAGCACACATAATTTGAACAAATGTGTAAAGTTGATATTTTTTATGATTTTTTATGAAAATCTTGAAAACGTTCCTTCCGCCGTATATCTTTTCAAAAACATGTAATAAGGGGAGAGGCACAGAAACTATGAACAAGACTCTTAAAATAATCTAAAAAAAAAACGAAGACATTTCTCTTTTTTTTGACAGATGGGGTTGATGGGGATGATGGGGATGATAGGGGTGATGGGGATGAAGGGAGTGATGGAGATGATGGAGGTGATGGGGATGACGTGGATGAAGGGGGTGATGAGGATGATGGGGGTGATGGGGATGATGGAGATGATGGGGATGATGGGGGTGATGGGGATGAAGGGGCTGATGGAGATGATGGGGATGATGGGGCTGATGGGGATGAAGGGTGTGATGGGGATAATGTGGATGATGGGGATGTAGGGATGATGGGGGTGATGGGTGTGATTAGGATGATGGAGATGATGGAGATGATGGAGATGATGAGGATGATGGGGTTGATGGGGTTGATGGGGATGATGGGGGTGATGGGGTTGATGGGGATGATGGGGATGATGGGGGTGATGGGGATGAAGGGAGTGATAGAGATGATGGAGGTGATGGGGATGACGTGGATGAAGGGGGTGATGGGGATGAAGGGGCTGATGGAGATGATGGAGATGATGGGGGTGATGGGGATGATGGAGATGATGGGGGTGATGGGGATGAAGGGCTGATGGAGATGATGGGGCTGATGGGGATGAAGGGGCTGATGGAGATGATGGAGATGACGGGA